GCAGGGCTTGACCCATTCTTCCAGAAAGAGACCATGGTGCCATAGTCATAGGGACCTTGCTTGACGCAATGGCTCTGCATTAGTGGCTTGCCGTCGTCCATTGGCCCGCTTGACCTGAGGATGGGCAAGCAAGTGCAGGCCTTGCTTCAAGCATCTTGGATAAGATCCAGGGGCCTTGCCTTGAAGATGGGCTTAACACCACATGCTCAACTTAATACAATGTTTGGCTGGCAGAGAGTCTTCAAACGGCGCGACTGGTTGCTGAGTACTTAGAGGGTTTTCATGTTTATGCCTCTTTGTTTACCCACATGCAGATTTGTATGCAGATCAAATGTGTTTGCATGCATGCACACTGGCATGTATCAGAAACATCCCTTCAAGTGTTTTCCTGCTTGAGGATGCTGGAGAGAGAGAGAGAGAGAGAGAGAGAGAGAGAGAGAGAGAGAGAGAGAGCGAGAGAGAGAGAGAGAGTGCCACTTCATCCATGCCAGACGCTCGCACGTGCTGCGAGGCCTTGGACAAAGACGGCGCGGATGCCGAGAGTCAAGATCTGCCAGATCAAAGACCAGAACAAAGACGTGCCAGCATTGGCTGATGCCTTCGGATCTGGGGCGCGCTCATTTTGACCAGGCCTTGTGCCGATTGGCCTGAGGACTTGCATAGGACAGTTGCACGCAAAAGCGAAGAGCAAGGCCAGGAACAGCCCAAAGGCCATCACTCACCAACTCGCCGCCCTCACATTGAGGGCAGAACACGGCTTTGGGCCGTAGGCCGAATGTGATCCTGCCCAAACTTGGGACAACTTGGCCGGCTTTTCGATTTCATTTTGCAACGTGGGGTCCAGCCGCACTTTGGGCGGAGATGGTTTCACTTTGTGCGGGGGGGCGCCAACACTCCGAACGGAGCCGGCGCCCCATGCCGGCCATGGGCACGGAAGCTGGCAGGATGGCCCTTAGCCTCCCAGCCTTTTCACGTGGAACCTGACGTTCGGGACCCGGTCCAAGTTCAAAAGGAGCAGAATCCAAACCAGGACCCCCCGAACGTCGAACGGTTCCATGTAAATTGGCGGGAGGGTAGCAATTGAGCCTAGGCTGTTTTTTGCCTTCAAACGTCACGCTTCCACATGCTTCCAGCCAGCAGTGTCCAGTCACCGGATCCATCCGACGCGCCAAAAGAGTGGATGCTTTGGCAACTTGGCAGTGCTCAGGGCTTGGTAGTTTATGTGAGTGGCGGTTGAGGGGTGCAACTAGTCCAAGCTGGGCTTTTCAAAGTCAGAAGCCGGAATCCTTAAGCCTGGACGATCGCCCATGTTTGGATGATTAGCAGCTTTGGAGCTGTGTCTATGCCTTGGCTTATGCACGGGAGAACAAACTGATCAAGTTTCTGACATATCGTCGTTCATGAACCGCAGGACTTCGGAAATTTGTCCGGACAGTGAGTAAGAGTTGCCCTTTGGGCACTCTGCCTTTCTTTTGGGGGCCCGGCCTTTTGTTTTTTTTCCCCCTCCCTCAGACGAACCTGGAAGCTCCCAGAAGGCCTCTGTAAATGGAAGCAAGTCTTCCAAAGGGGTCCTGGGAGCTTCCATGTTAGCTTGGGGGAGGGCTGTTGGGGTTGTCCGGCACCCAGAAGAAACATCCATCTTCACCTCCCCATGCGCGCTGGATGCCATGAAGCTGTGCTGAGAGTCTGAGAGAGTTCTGTCCGGGGATCCGCATCTTTCTAGAAAGCCTCCGGATCCGTTTCGGGGAAACGGATCCGGTGTTTGGAAAGGACGATGCTTGAAAAGACTGGAGAGGGACAATCAACCCCTGGAACAATGGCCAGAAAAAAAACAACGACAAAAAAGCAGAAACACAGGAAAGCAGCCAGTTCGGGGAAAAACCCTAGAATTGTTCCTCATGTTGACCTCCGAAAGTGGCGATCGGTTTAACAGACCAATACATTGATCAACTGAAGCTGGGAAATCCAGAGACCTCCAGCTTGAGCAGCATTCACTTTACATGCCAACAATGAAAAACTAGCTTTCGGTGGTTCTACCCGGTTTTGTTTTTTGGTGTTTGTTTTATTTTATTTTATTTTTTGTCTTTTGTTTTGTTTGGTGTTTTCTTTTGGTTTCTTTAGGTGGTTCTGGTTGTTTGGTGTTAGAGGATGTCTTGTCGCCTTGCTCCTTGGCTTACCTTGGCTTGCCAGAGGTGTCAGCTCGGGCTTTGGTCCTTTCGGCCCTCGTGGGGGGGGAGATGAGAAAGAGGCGAACCTCTCTCATCTTCGAAGACAGGTGTCAGAAATCTTCAGGAATAGTGAAACCCTGAAAACGCCAACTGCCCATTCGAAATCGCCCAAAGTTGTCTTAGGTTTTTGCCGCTCGCTCATATGTTGATATGCACAGATCGGTGTGTCTACTTCTGGGGGTACCCATGGATAGGTGGTTTTAAATGAAATCCAAGAGGCAAGCCATGATTTCGGTGGGGTGTGGAATTACGTCATTTGGAGCCAAAATTGGCACCCCGGCCTAATAAACTCCAGTATAGTCATAGGGGGCGTCCCTGGATTTTCTAGGGAATCATCACTTTTGGAGAGGGACTGCCCCTTTTTTAATGGGACGGGTTCATTAATCCAAGGTCAACATTCGGGCTTTTTGTACAGTTTAGTAGTTCTCAATTCCGCTTAAAGGATGCCCTTGCAATTTTAGCACCATGTTTGCAAGATGTTCATTCGACGGTCATGCACGAACAACACCAACTTGCAAAAAGTTGCATAAAGTGCGAGACCACTTCTTGCACCCGTAGTGCCATACAACAAAGCATGAATTGCTACAGGAACATACTGGACTTACTGAACCCACCCTTGGGTTCCTTGCCCCCAGTAACAGAATGCCCTTGGGACCCAGTTTGGAGGATGAAACTCCTGAAGTGCAATAAACGGTCATTATCTTAGCCCAGCCTTTGGTTCACTGGCGGTAGCTCAACTCCAGGGCACATTCGTCCAGTACTTTGGCATTGGCAGGCTTCGGGTTGAGGTGGTGCAGTGCTACACAACAGATGTTGCAAATCGCATGGATGTCCGTGCGATTTGGAAGCCTGAAGCAAAAGTTAGGGCCATGCGCAAGCATCCTGAGCAACCATCAAATCCATGTCGACCTCGTTTCTATTGCCATCCTTCATGAGCACTGTTGGGTTGCAAAGGGACCCTCTGTTTTGAACAGGGCTTATTTCGGCAGAGCCATGAGGCCCCCCCTCCCCCCCCGAACAGCCTGCCCCCGCCCCAAAACAAAAGACAAGAAACCCAAGCAAAAGGCAGAAAGCAGTTCTGATATCCCTTGTGTCAACCCCTTAAAACCTAAGAGTATTTTACCGTGATCAAAGTCAAACAAACCTATTTTCTGACTTTGATAACCCCCAGAAACCGTCAAAATCATGACCCCAGTAAGACCCTTGGGGATTTTTTTCTTCGGTTTGCTCACCTCCTGTGGGCCCAGGGACCTCGGCGAATGGATTTGACTCGGCTGACGGCGGGAAAAACAGTTCGATCTTGGGCTCAGTGTCCAGGACCTTGCGCGGCGTTGGGTTGTGAGACAGGGGGAAGCCTACAAAACAAATGACTTTTTCTTTGGTGCATTTGGCTTGGATGTTAGGACTTTAACTTTTTGCCAACTAATGGGTTTTCCATTAAACCACCAAAAGTTAAACTTTTAGCAGGATACATTTTACATTTTACCAGTGACTCAGAGGGAAGCAAACAATAGAATATACGTTCTACAACTGGGCCTTGGTCTAATCATGACCTGAAGAAGGTTGCCCTCCTTTGTGGTTCACTTTGGCTTCATAAAGACAACCTAACAACGGGTCCCACGGCAGAGAGAGAGAGAGCAACGTATAAGCTATAAGTCCATTCCCCCAGACAGAAGGGGGTCCTATTCTGCGTAGCTTTTCTCGCTTTCTCCGTGCGTTTTGTGTGACAGGACTCAGCTTGGGAAGCTGCCGCGTGCAAGCGCCTGCGATTCCTTTGAGGGAATATTATTCGCTGTTTAAGGTTTGTTGGTTCTGCTCAATTTTAGGTGGGCTGCAAACAGACAAACTGTTTGCTACCATACCAAGCGGTGCAAAGTATTGCAACCTTCCATTCGGGCACATGGGGTATATAATCCGTAGATGGACTTTTCAGCTTCTCGTTTTGGCTTCTGCTAGGTATGAGGTATGTCCAGAACACGCTGGAAAGCGAGCCATCTGCCTTTTTGTCGCAGGAGGTTCCATGAGACTTGCGCGTTTGAAATTGTGCACAGTTCAACGGCATGTTCATTCCTTGTTTTCAAAGGGGCCTCCCACCAATACAAAAAAACAAAAACAACAAGGTGTCACTGCTTGCCTTGTTTCCTGCACGAGGTTTCTCACGCGGTGACCCTGGGTTGCTGAAGAGCTCCAAGGATCTTTTCTTGGGACTTCTGATTCGAATTCCACGGAAATAATATCTTTGGCCATGTTTCTTTGCATTTTGCTTGGATGTTAGGACTTTTGTTTTTCTCCAACTAGTGAGTTTTTCATTGAACCACTAAAAGTTATTCACTTTTAGCAGGGGAGCCGAAAGCGACCGAGTTTCTTCTGACTTGCATGAGAAGTTGGGGCACCTGGGAGCCTTTCCGGTGCCCATCAGGTCTGATGTGCCGCAAACTAAGCGTCTCAAGCAAGCCCCATGACTGCAGCAGCTCAGAGAAGTGATGAGAAATGATTAGATCCCTCAGCAATTGGTGCCCGACCTCTCACCCAACTTTTTGGTTGGGAGATTCGGTTCCCTACTAAAATAGACAAGACCGAAAAAAGTTGGTACCCTTACTACCCCTTACTCTAACCTCTCAAATCTGTCAAATCTGGAGGACCTAGAGATTGCCAGCTTCAGTTGCTCATGCCTTGCCATAAAACAAAAGCACTTCTCCCGGAAAGGCACCGAGCCATCAGTTGGCCTTGCGCCTCCCACGTCACAGCCCCTTGCAGCCAGCCAGCCCCAATAGCAGCCAGCTGACTTTCCGAGCCAGCGGCCACATCCCTTGCAACATGTAACACGCACAGCGGCGCAGTCGCTTGCCCGCAGCGTTGATGAAACCATGGCCGAGGCTCGGCGGCAAGCCAAAGCTCGGCTTGCCATCGGCTTCTTTTTGGGGGGAAGATGGAGACGCACTCAACGAAGTGGCTGTGGTTCAACAATAGGTACCCAAAATGGAACCCTGGTATATGGAAACATGGACTAACATCTGCGGTCCCCTGGTGATTTAATATTGACCCACAGCCAAGTGGCTTTGTGGTTTGGTCCGGACGTCTTGAATGCTTGCAGGCCGCCGAGGTGCTCAAGACAAGGGGTCCCTCGTGTGTGTGCGCCATCTTTGCTTAATCCAGGTGTTGTTGCAACCATAGGTGTCCTCTTTGGTTAGTTTGGCTAAAATTGATTTTTTTTTAAAAAAAAGAAAAACAACTGGTTTAAATGTAGTTCATTCCATGTACCAGGGCCATCTATTTTTCCAACAGGCCACCTGTGGTTGCAACAGTTGGCCCTGAAATCTTCGAATGCCTCATGGAGCCGAGGCATACACATGAAGCCAGAATGGGCGGGGACCCACGTGGGAAGGCGAATGTAGCTTGATGCTGACCGCACTTTTCTTGCTTGGCCAGACAGCTCCATTTTGCTAGCGCTGATGAAGTTGCAAGCGTTCATTTCCATGAAGAGGAACCTGAACAAGTGCGTGCTGGTATATTCACTACAGCATCTTCACTTTATGTTTATCACCCAGGTGTTGATATAGGTTTGCTTGTGAACCTGCCAGAAATGTATCGCACAGAGACCAAAGCCCTTGGAAACAATGTGCACCTCTCTTACATTACTTGGCGTTGGAACCATACTTTCAACCACCTCCAAGTTCCGCCCAGCCCAATCCCAGACCTAGTTTTACATAATTGACTAGCACCGTGACGGAGGTTGGATACCCTTTGCGGCTAGAAGTACTGTGGATGGACGAATTCCATTTCGCATAACTGGAATGATGACTCCCCTGTAAGTATACCAACGAAATCCATTTCGCACCACCTAAGAATCCCTGGAATGATTCGATTCCCTTATACCAACAAACGTGATGGTTTCTGGTGGTGCGAACGAATTTGGTGCATGTTGCTTGGATGTTAGGACTTTAACTTTTTGCCAACTAATGGGCTTTCCATTAAACCACTAAAAGTTAAACTTTTAGCAGGGGAGCAGAAAGCAACCAAGCACCGTTGGCTTTGTGGATGCAGGTTTTGGCCGCTGGCGGCTCTCAGCGCGGCTCAGGCGGTCGGTTTGAGCCACGTGGGGAGCGTTGAGCTCCCCGATTTTAGGGCGAGCTCAGCGATCCCGGGGGCCAAACCAACCTGGGGTAGACTTAAGGATACATTTTACATTTTACCAGTGCCTCAAAGGGGGCCTAAGTCTAATCATGCAACGACCCATGAATAAGATGATTTACTCGAGAATGTCTCAATTCACGCCTTGGAATTTCCGAAATATTTGCAGCTGGTGGTTCAAGCCTTGCTGAGAGGAAGTTTGCTGGGCGGCTTTTCGCGAATCCAACGGGGGCCAAAGTGGATAGCCTCACCTCGTTGAAGCCATCAATCATGCAGGTTCCCGTGGTTGTCCCGTGGGGGCTGTTGCTTCATCCAGCCATGGATGCTGGCAAAGTTGCTCCCTGATGTGCGCGTACGGCACGGCCGTATTGTCAGCACGCACCACGAGCAGCTCAAATCATCCTTTGCGTATTGACCTAGTGGCTTCTCCCTGAAAGCTGCCCCAAACCACCACGAACGGGCCGATTTGTGGGCCTGCGCGAGGTGCCTGTCATGCCACTGGGCCCGCTGTTTCCGGACTACGACTGCAGGAAAGTGGCATGGACCCTGGATCAAACTGGCGGACCTTTGGCTAGGAATGTTGGCCCCGGATCCATCAACGGCCCCAGTTGCTCAACATGGGGTTCCCCCTCCAAAAGTGATGATTCCCCACATTTCACCCAGGGACGCCCCCTTATCGAAAAACTGGAGTTGATTCATATATGAGGTCAGCATTCAAGATACATCTACCATGCATAGCTATCATTTTATCGAACAACGCCCGCCCCAAATTTCAAGGGCCAAGATGGCCAAGCTTATGAGCTATTGATGTGAGAATGGCCAATGATAAGCTGAAGGAGCTGCAGAAGCGAGCTGTGCTTCTGCGATAGCACCCAGTATGGGAAAAGTTGGAAGGTGTTTTTTGGTCTCCAACGAAAGTTGAAACAACTTAAACCCAGTTGAAGTTGGAAGTTGCCACTTCTGCTATGGTAATTTCCGAAAGGAACCCAAAAGGGCATGGACCAGATGGAAAAAACACTTTCCAGGCATAGTGGGGCCACACAAGGGGAAATAACTATGTTGTCCGTGGCATGGGGGTCGGGGGGTCGGCACAGACCATTACTGGCTGGTGCTCAGCAGGGAATGAGGGAATGAACCGTTTTGGATTCCCAAATCAAAGAAAACCACAAGTTGGATGGTTTTTCTCCTGGTCATTCCTGGTCATTTCATTTCTCATTCCCTACTTAGCGCGCCAAGGGCGTGCTGGATGGCATCGATTGGCCCCACTGGCAGCTGCCTCAGAAAAATCTGCCGTGACCTCGAGAGTCCTCGAGCCCGAGATTGCGCCGTTGACAAACCAGAGTTTCCTATATTTCCTTTGGTTTGAGTATCACTTGTCGGGCTGATTTAGAGGGAGCATCATTGTGGTTTGTCACCCCTCACTTTCTGAGTTCATGAACTTTAAACTTTCTGGGAAGACCATTTTAGTAGTAAATATAAAGTTTGGACTTTTTTTGGACCATCCACTCAGCCTGTGAGACCCAAAAGCAACCATGGAAAGAAGTTCAAGTTCTGCCAGCCCTCGCAGCCTTGGCAGAGCTGGCAAAGACAAGTCTTGCAGCCGAGGCTGTCCACGTTCGAGAAGGCTCGGCCGGACGCATTGCACACGCAAGCGCCTTTGTTCTGTTGTTCTTTTGCGAGGTAGGTTCAAAAGGAAAACCAACTGTAACACAGACACACGCACATTTTCTTCGGTGCATTTTGCCAAGGGATGTTTGGACTTTAACTTTATGCCAGCGCATGGGTTTTCCAGTAAACCACCAAAAGTTAAACCTTTAGCAAGGAAGCGGAAAGCAACCGAGTTGTGTATTTCCCCAATTTGGACCCAACCCGCTCAGCCGGCTGAGTTCGATGAATCGCCAGACTCGGGAAGTCGAAGACCAAAAAGCCCAAGTCGGTTTCCGCACAATTTTCTATGAGCCGAGTTGAACAGTGCCATGTGTGAGGGGGTGACTTGAAAGACAAGAAGCCCAAGAGCCCCAAATTGCTGGGCCCCCTTTTTTAAACATAGAAGTCCCAGGTGTCTGTCCAACACCCATAGGAACCTACCGGAACTGTGGCCTGTGTAGGGGTTTCCAACCCCCCAAACCAAGCAGGGGAGTACTAGGGCTGGACCTTCCGGCGACAAGGGCGGGCTCGACTGATGCTTCGGAATCCTTGGCCTCCATTCTTGACTGGTATTGGGCTATTGGGCAACGGATCTTTGGACTTTAAGTTTGTGGGAGATCAAGTTGGGTTTTCTGGACTAAACCCACAAAAAATGGAAAAAAACACTTTTTGCAGAGGGGTCGACAGCAACAAAGCATTCAAGAATGAAAGAAAGCCTCCCTTTCGGTGCCTGCAAGTCACACAGACAGTGAGACTTCCAATGCACGGCTCCCTTTTTGGGGCTCCGAAACGTATCCCACGTTTCGGTGCTCTTGCCTGCAACCCTACACAGAACTGAATCAAATCATGCCAGAGTTGTGGGATCACTCGGGGTTTATCCAAGCACTTCTGTGATACTTTTGGGAATCCCCTGTTTACATGGGGGGGTATTCTTTGGGAGACCCTTTTGTTGTATCACAGAAGTGGTCATTTCCCGCAGCCCTGAATCACGCTAATTAGTTTCACACGGTGTAAACCACCATGGAACAAAGCAAGTTCAGACACAAACAGCAGCTCGACAAATCAATCTATTTCCATGCCTACCCATTTCGGTTTGTTGGTTCATTGTTTTTTTGCCCGACACTGGGTTGAGCCAATTTGGACCAGGAACAATGTGTGAATCCCCGAATAAAACCTTGCTACCCTATTCCTCTACATAGTATATTCAGAGGTGCATGTTGCTTGGATGTTAGGACTTTAACTTGTTGCCAACGAATGGGTTTTCCAGTAATTAAACCACTAATAGTTGAAAACTTCTAGCAGGGGAGCAAAAAGCAAGCGAGTATTGGTTCTCACATTGCCATATTTGTATATTGCTATCTCCTGGGATGGGACAGATGTTGAAAAGGAAACAGACAGGGAACACAATGCGAGTATGAGTCAAAGTTTAGACCCAGGGAAGCGCAGGTGTCTGCTCTTGTTTCCATTCACCAGGGTTCCATGTTGGGGGTAATTACGCCATGTTCTCAGTTGTTCAGTGGCACCAATTATTTTTCCATTTCTTGGTGACTGCCCCACGAAAAATGGTCCAATCCCCAAAAAGGGTTCCCTTTTTTTCCCAGGGTCACTGAAAAACCGAGTGTTTGACCCGCACCCGCGCGAGTTGTTTGGTCGTTCTTCGTGTCGGACCCGGGCGCGGCTTTTTTTTCTGCAGTCGCCCGCCTCCTGGGCCGATGCCGGGTCGCGGCCAGCAGCGCAGAATCGGCCGATTTCGCACGTGGGGGGGGGGACGGGTGGACTGGGAATCGCTTTGAGGGCCCTCCAAAAATCGAAGCGTCCATTTGCTGTAATGAGCGTGCTTTGATTTTCCCCTGGTCTTAAAGGGAATCGATTTCCAGTAGTGACGAATCCGCAAATGGAGGATTGAATGTGTAAAAGGTTCCCGGATGGTCTCTCGCGACAAGAAACGTTGGCATCGATTGGAGCGCAGAAGGCCTGGACCACATGCTGCGTACACGAGCTGCTTGAATCTTGCCTTGCGCCTGCGAAAGGAAGCGCGAGGGCTGCGATTGCGACCTTGTAGGTCGATCCAGGTGAAAACCGCTCACTCAAACGGGCGATGCAGTGTGCAGGCGTGAGGTTCTCAACTGGCGGCAACAAGAATGGATATAAGGTGCAAGCCTTGGTGTCAAGGTCTTCTGCTGCAAATCGCTTCCGGTAAAACTAGTTGCATGCATCGTGCATCACGGGCCCACGGTTTTTTGCACAGCCGCTGCGTGACAATATACCCGAGGTTCTCCTGAGTGTGTGTGTGTTTTTTTTTTGGGGGGGGGGAGTGGAACTGCTGCGTTAGATGGGTGTAGCGGTGCGATGCCAAGAGTTCTTTGGCCTTCAAGAGAAGGTCATCTGAACTTTAAGCACAAGTTGCCTGGAATCCACTGCATGTCATCAGCTATGATGTATTTGTTTGGTCGTATCGTGTGGGAAGCCATCCGTCAAGGTGCACAGTGACAAAATGGAGCTGCAAATTGCGCAGGAACAGCACGTGGCTGCTGGAAGTTAGTGTGGGCGCAACTAGATTGAGCAAGCAAAGCGCAATTCTGTGTCACCTTGCTGAGCCAAGACCCAGGATTAAAAAGATTGAATGCTTAGACCTTTGCGCTTGGGCGTGGCGAACTGCGCTGGGCCCCAGTCGGACCTCAGGGCTGCAGATGCGGATGTTCCCGAAGGATCAGAATGCGCTGTATGGAGGGGTCCCCGCCAAACAGGAAGCGGGATGTCGGCAACAGCGAGGGCTGCTATTTAGGGGCCAACGCTGTCTTGCTTCCCGCTTGGTTCGATGGAGTGTCTTCGCTACCACATCAGCCAGCAGCATGCTTGAGGCCACGCAAGTTTCAGATTGACCTTGTGGCGGTCAGTTGGGCCAAGCGAGTTTCTTAGGTGGGGGTTGCTAGAGTAATCTGCTTCTTCGGGCAATTCAGTGAGCAAGCGGGGGGCGCGCTGGGGATCAGGTATTTCGATCTCTTCATGGACGGCGACTTTGAGTCTTATCAGCGCGCGGAAGCTTAGCTGCGCATGGGAGGCTCGGGCAAAGCAATCTGGGGGCCCCTGTGTGTAAAGAGAACCGTTAAATATCGCAAAGACGGATTGACCAGGCGCGCGGTTAGTTTGCATCAGGGAACTCGCATGAACTAAATCTGCACTTGTTTTGGCGGTTGCTCCTATGATTGCAAGCGGTTTGCGTGTTTTCTCGCTGACTGTGGGTTGTAGGACTCGCTCAGACTGTCAGAGTGGCCGTTTCAAGCGTCATACGCTAAACCTTTGGCATTCAAGGCTGGAAAGGGAACGAAGCATTCTTTCCCTCCCCTCCACGCAGAATCACGCATGGTCATACGCCCTGGAAAACAGATGCAAATCGTTTATCCATAGCCAAGTAACCGGAGCATCTGTGTGAAGATTGTGGGTGGAAGTGGTGCCAGGGACATAGCAGACACATGTCTCCGTTCAATTCGACCCCCACAAAATGTTCCAAACTTCTGGTGGATCCATTTGTTTTGAGAATGTCCATTTTGGGTGACCGGGTTCCACATGTGTCCAGAGCAGGGAATGCACGTTGTTGCGCAACTTGGGCATACTGGCAATCAGTGGCGCCGCTGGAGATGAATCTGAGAGGCGCAGGGTTTTCAGTCTGAGACCTATGAACAGAGTGGATTTTGCCTCGTGACTTCTTTCGAGTTTTGTCCTAGCCGAGGCTGGTCTGATGCATGCCCGCGGGGGTCTCAGTCAGATTGAGTTAGCTTCGGCATGTTGCCCCGCTGCCCCAGTCAAATATATAATTGGAATTGCCCACCAACCGACTTCCAATTTCTGGCCACCGCCCGGCCTCCAGTGCTTTCACATGATTTGGGGAAGGCGAAAACCACATGCCTCCGCACCTCTGAACTCCGCAGTGCACAGCTGTCCTTTTTGACGCCTCCTTGCCGGCGCGAAAGGATTCACCCAACACGGCTTCCTTTTTTGGAAAGGCAAGGAGCACGCGCACACATTGAGAATCACGTGCACTTGAAACTCCCCACGTGGATGAATTGTTTTGACTCCTCACTGGCAAGCTTGGCAAGGCGCGGTTTGTTTTTGAATGTTTGCCTGGCGTGTGAAGATTGATGTGTTGACGGAACTTCAGGGTGGCCCGCCCACCGAAGAACTGAGACCTGTCATTACCGTGTCGTGTAGCACGCAGCAAGGGCCAGCCGACGCAGCCATCAGGATCAAGATGTCACCGAAATGAGGGATGTGTGCAAAGCATTTATGAAAATGAATATATACCTAATTTATTTACACCTGTGTGTATAATAGTATAATATATATATATATATATTTTGCCAATCCGAAGTATGAGCATGTTTCAAGGCTTTGTCCCCTTAGGCCTGTTGAGAAACTGCATGAAAAGAGATAGAAGGAGCAACCCATACTCGGAACTCAATGTTGCCTGTACCATGTATATTAGATAGAGGTTTGCCGCTACCCTTGTTTCAGCGATGCGCCTTGCCCTTGCAGTTTGTCTTGCGGCGCTGGTGATTGCAGAGGAGTGAGCGGTGGAATAGGTGGCATGCCCCCCCCCCCCCCAACCAAAAAGAGGTACCAGCTCAAACCAGCTCGAGCCGGGGAGCCCTCAAAATGGGCGCTTTGTTTCCTCCTGGTTTCGCTTTAAAGATGCCAACTCAAACAAGTCCGACCCACACAAAACGGGCGCCGGAAAACAAGATAGGTGGCATTGCCTCGTGATGCGGCCCTGGTAAAAGGGACTATTCCCTCATGTGGGTCTGTTCTTTTGAGCTACCTTTTCTGGGGTTGATCCTCCCAATAATAGAACCTCCCTCCGAAAAAATGCACCAGTGAACCCACTTCCCCCCAAAAGAAGTCCGCACCGAACCTCCAAATCAGCGATGCACCTCTCCCCCAAAAAGCAGATCAAAGATCAATGAACCCACACAACAAACAAGAACAAGCATCAACTCGACCTCCCAAAACACATCCACACACACCCTCCCCTCCGCTTGTACCCCCCCAACTCCGCCAGGACCTGTCTGCCACGTTCCGGCACACGGGCTGGGCCTTGTCGCGCCAGCTGCTGGAGGCCCAGGAGGTCGCCCTTCTGGCGGCCCCTGGGATTTTGTTCAAAGCGCTCTCAGTATAGGCGTCAGGGTTCCACCCCTTGGTCTTAAACCTGTTGAACTGGAATAGCTGGGTTTCCTATTTGCTTGGGACAGGCCCGCATCCGTTTTGTCCATGCATATCGGTTTTCGACAGGCATATCGATCTTACGCAGTGACAATGTCCTGCACCAGTTGGTGAATGTGTTGTATTGTGTTGTCCTGGTATTCCTTGAGTTTCATCCATGCCAACTTCCCCAGAATTAGCTCCCCTTTTTCCTTTTTGTGCTTTTTTGGGGTCCCCTTTGTTTTCCACTAACCAGGCAAACATATATTTTTTTTGCTGAGGTCCGATTTTTCCAGCCTAGCCAACTGGTATTATCAGTGCAATCTGCCAATCACCTTCGGCCCATGTGGTTGCTTCTGGCCTCTGGGTTTCAACCTCCAGGGTTTTTCAGGAATATCCGGAGGTACTGTGGATGGACGAAATCCATTTCGCACCAGCTCAGAAACCCTGGAATGATAATTCCACTGTAAATGCCAACGAACAATGGTTTCCCATGGTTTCAAAGTGGTGCAGGATTTCGCCCATCCACAGTATTATTCACATTTGGCGCGGCGAGCTCTCACGACGTAGTGTCTTGTCTTGGGGTCCGATGCGCGGTTCAGGTGAACTATCTCAGCAAGCCCTGAGTGGTAGCTTTCTTTGCACGCGCGTAAGGCTTTGGGTCGAATGATCAGTTCAGGCTCGGAACTGTTGATTTTGCAGACTCATTTGGTTGCCAATGGACTGGCTTTTGGTGCCTTTGGAAGCCCAAAGGAAAGCAAACAACTCTTCGGAACGGCACAAAATGAAAACCGTTGGATTGGAGTGGCTGACATTTCTGGTACCACTTGGCACTTTTTTCGAACCCTCTTGGGTCCCCGAAGTATCTATCTGTCCATGGCCCAATGGGAGTTTACCCGCAGTTTCGCAGGGTTTCCGAGCCATGTCTCTTTACAGGAAACCTCCAAAAGTGGCAAAGCCACAAGTAACTTGATGGTCATTTCAGGGTTTCCGATTTCAGTTTTGTAACCTCCAATAGCGGCGATGGTTTCAATTGAAACCACTCACTTGGTCAACTTTTGATTTGGGAGCAACACACCGCCCAGCTCCCCGCCACAAGCAAACAACCAAGGAGCACAGGTGGCCTTTTGGCAAAATAGATGGCCCTGGTAAACCTGGCAAATGGAATGAACCATATCTAAACCAGTGCCATCTATTTTTAACAACACCAACCTAGAACCATGGAACCTCCCCTTTGCAATACATTGGAAAGGCCGCGCTCGCGGCGTAAAAGTGAACGATCGCAATAAGGAAGCCCGGTGCCGTTTCCAAATTGAAGCCTTTCCCCACCCCTTCAAAATGGAATTAAAGGAGGGGGGGTGACTTCTGGAGATCTCCATTTATGGTGCCATTTGCCCTTTTGGGAAGTTCGTAAAAAAACATGGAGTTGGGTCCCATCCACCCCAAATCCACCCCAAATCCACCCTCTCTATCGGTAGGGGGGATGAAGCCTTTGGCAGGCTTGGCCCGAGCCAGCGCGAACTCCAACGATCCAAGGCACGGTTGGAGGCGCTGCTGGATCAGCACGGGCGCCGGGCCTTCGGGGACGATGGCCAGAAGGACGGGCCTTCGAACCGCCCCGCGCCCCCGCGCGCTTCGTTTCGAGGGCCGGTTCAGCGCCCCGTGTCAACTCTGGGGATGCTTGTTGTGTGGACTTCAAATGGATGCTTATTGTTGTGGGGCAGAAATACGGCCGTTTTTTTTGTTCAGGACATTTTCGAAGATTGGACTTGGCGTGCCAAATGCGTGATTGCTCTTGCAGATGGGGAAATCATCAATAATGATTGTGGGTTTGAGAATTAGAGACCGCGCAAAGCTGATTGGTACTTGCATACATCCCACGGCCCACAAAAAGGAACCCAGAAGAGATGGACATGTTTGGATTCTTCGCCAGGCTCCCTATGCACCACATTTCGACACAGCGCGAGCCCCCCTTTTTTTTGGTACGATGCCATCCGATCTGCTTGGCTGAACCACCCTATGACAAGTTTGGGTTTCAGTGATAGCAAGCCCGGCCGGGCCCGTAGCTTGTCAGTCAAGACACCCCGTGCTTGAACGTAGCTGAACTGAAGTCGCCATGAACGCTGTGGCTTGCCTCGCTGTCCTGGTCACTGCCCACGCCGCGGCCGTGCACGAGAAACAGGGCGCCATTGAACTGGGCAACGTGACTGGTTCGCCGGTCGCAAGAGATCCGAGTTCTGATTGATTTGGACCATGCCAATCAGAGGTGTTCCAACAACCATGTTTCAGGGAGTTTCACTTGCTTCCAGAGCTGGAGCAGAACAAAAACCGGACTTCCTCAGGCCGAATTTTCTGTGCGAAGCTTAGAGCTTAGGTTCCAGCCCTGTGGCCTTGGTGGCGCAGAAAGCGGTGAACTACCCTCTCTATGCTGGTGTGGCCATCGTTGCTGGCCTTGCCATGGCTGGCGCGGGCTACCTCTACATGAAGAAAGAGAAGCCTGGCGCTCCAAATTGAAGCCCTTCAAGATACCTGAAAGCTGCAGGGGTTCCCAACATCTCACAAAACAGGAGAAGCGAGCTGGCCAGGCCTCGACTTTTCCTTGGGTGTGGGACACAACAGGGAGGGGGGCGATGCGTACGAAAAGAACTGGTCCACGGTGCCGAGCTTTTCAGACAAGAGTGCCTCTGGGGGAGATTCCGGGTGCATGGTGACTTCCCAGTGCCGCCAGTGCTGGCGTTTTAGGTGCCAGCATGCAGCCTGGGGTCGGCTATTGGGGTCTGTGCTCATGTTGTGAACAGGTGAGGCTCATGCGTCATGGGTCAAATTTCATCAGATCGTGGTTGCTTTCGATATTGTTTACCCTCCCGCCCACTGACAGGAGGTCGCGTTAAGAGGAAATCTATTTTCCAGGTACCCTCCCGCAGGTGCTATGCCAGCCGAAGGGAGGGTAGTTCGTGGATGTTGCGGATGAGTGACTTTTTGCTGACCCAGGACAGCGTCCGAAGATGTGGAGGCAGGATCCAAGGAGAACACGGCGGCCCCTTCCACAGAAGAGATGATCGAGCAAGCCAAAGTTGCTCGGCAAAAGGCCGAGAATGTTGACCCCATTTGCATCAACCCCAGTTCATTAATAGGGCAAAAACGGTCTGATGCCCCACGTTTCACCAAAGGAGATTCACCCCGCTATGAATAAACTGGTTGATCGAACTTCATTTCGGGTGAACATGATGCTTCAAGGCCGGCTCTAGAGGGCAAAAATCGGGCGTACCACCCGAAGCTCCAAACCACCCTGCGGCTTTGGACGAGATCTTGCTGGAAGCGGAACTAGGTCCCCCAGCTAGGTGCCAAATCTTTCTCACCCAACTTTTTGGTTGGGAGATTTGGTTCCCCTGCTAAAATAGACCTTCCTGCAACAGTTGGCAGCCTTATTCTAACCTCAAACTACTCGAGGACCTAGGGAACTGGAGTCTGGCCCCCGAATGACCATGGGCAACTGTTCCCATTTAATGGGAAATCTCATCTTTTAGTGGCTTCTGCCAATGGTCACATGTAA